ATATCTTTAACGGTCGATGAAGCTGCACATGTTCTTCCTACATCTAGAGAATTATCTAATTGTGAACAATTATAATAATTAATATATTTTTTTGTGTTTTTTGAATACATCTATGTATACATTTATTTCTATATTCACTACTTTTGTATTAATCTCATTAACATTTAAAAAAGAAAGTAAAGTAGAGTATGATCTGTCATTTTTTTTGTATTCTCAGCTCAATTCCTGTTTATCTTTTGTATTCATATCTGTTAAAAGTTATATTAAAATAAAAAAAGTCAATAAAGAAAGAGAATTTTCATAAATATTTGATTGGTTTTGTTTTGATTTTATAAATTTCTTTTTTTTCATTATTCAAGCATGAAAAATAATTCCAATCATAGTACAACTGATAAACCACAATTACTATGGCTAAGACATTTTGGTGCTGGTGTTTGTGCTGGTGGTATAAGTCGTACATGTACAGCTCCAATTGATCGTTTACGAACTTTTTTTCAAGGTAATTTAGAATTATTTCGCTTTCTATTTGAAAATTTTCTTTTTTTTTCTAGTTTATGGTCTTGATTCCCATGCACGAATGACTATAAGTACAACAGTAACTTCCATGGTTAAAGAAGGTGGTATTCGATCATTATGGCGTGGTAATTTAATGAATGTAATTAAAGTATCACCAGAAACTGGTCTACGTCTTATGTCTTACGAAGCATTTAAACGATTGTTAGGACAAACATCAACACATGAAATTCATATATTTCAGAAGTTTTTATGTGGTTCAGCAGCTGGTTTTACTGCTAGTGCATTAATATATCCAATGAAAACCATTAAAGTTAGTAATAAGATATTTTTCTATATGAAATGAATATGTATAATTTTGTTTTTAGACTCGATTAACTATACGTAAAACAAATGAATATAAATCAATTGTGGATTGTATTATGAAAATATATCGAATCGAAGGTTTACGTGCTTTTTATAAAGGTTTGTTTTTGAAATAATTGATCTAAAGATGATGATTAAAAATCGATAATCATATATTATGATGTTCTGTTTATTTTTCTAGGTTTATTACCAAGTGCCTTAGCTATTCTTCCAGCAAGTGGTATTGATCTTGCATTATATGAAACATTGAAACGACGTATAGAAGCATATAAGGGTTATACAACAAATCCATTAGAAAAATTAATTGTTGGTAATATATCGAATGGTGTTAGTCAATTTTTTATTTATCCATTATTAAATGTTCGAACACGACTTCAATCAAATGTTGGTAAAACTGATACTATGACACAAATTTTAAAACGTTTATGGATAAATCATGGAATACGAGGTCTTTATAATGGATTTTCATTACATATGTTACGTTTGGCACCATCGAGTGGAATTTCATTTCTCACTTTTGAATATATTAGTAAATTATTAGGAGCTAAAGCTTTGTAATAATAAAAAATGTCTATGTAATAGTGTGCGTGTTTACCTATCTGTATGAATATGTATAGGATAATATTGCATTTGTGTTTATTGCTCACATATATTTAGGTTCAGGAAGTTAGATATACTTATTTTTGTTTTGTTTTATGTCTTGTCTTCTATGACTTTAAAAGAAATTGTTAACGAATAAAATAAAGTATTGTGATATAGAATTAATCTATTTTTATTTATTATATATTAAGCATAATATAAATTGCATAAATAGAATGAGACAATACAACAATAGAGTGACCAACATGTGTTGTATTTACATAGCTGACAGTCATAACATAGAAAAGACAAGTATTTTGTTTGTTAGAAGGCGGTTACTTTACAAGGTCAGATATTGAATATATATATCAACATATATATATCTAAATAAACACATCTTTATTATGTACGTCTAGCTAATAATATGTATATGTATATCTTCAGAACAGATAGAATATGGCTTATTAACGACAACAAACATATATATATATATAAAGAACGATGAAGGTGCAAGAATTATCATTATTTGTCGTCAACGTCGTTAGTGTTTGTTGGTATCGTCTAGCAACGATGGCTTTGAGTTCGATCCTTGTCATCATTATTGTCAGTTTCGGTTTCTCAAAGATGCATGGTTGTCTATCAATGGGT